AAAGAACTTTCTGTTTTTTAGTCCCCAGTGGCACCAACTTCATACATCAATGAGACGAGTGGAGATGGAAATTCCACTGTTTGTATGAGTATTAGTGTGGTGCTTTCCCCATACGACAATTAATCTGGTGCCACACAAAACACACGGTTCAAACAGCCATTCATTCAAACACACACAGTTTGTTTATTCACATCAGCGCTTGGACTTTAGTGTGTGATGTTTTTATGATAAAGGGACTCGTATGGGGTACTTAAAAAGAGTGTTAGCCGTCGTAGCGCAGCAGCTGGATGAAACCACAGTTGGCCTTTTTCGTTTCAAAATAAGTGGAAAAATCAGGATGTCTTTTCCTGCTTTTGTCACTTTTATGTCCTTCAGTGCAAGGCAAATTGCCTTTGGGCCATACAGTTTTCTTTCATTCATTATTAAAAAACTGCAAAATTAGGGGCGTGCTTAACCAATTGATTTTTAGATGTATTATATGTCAATATAATTTAGATACAAAATAGATTTTAAAAGTATAATTATATTAATATTAATTTATGTATTTATTTTTACAAACACTGGTGGTGCATATATATAAATAACATTTAAATTCACCAGTAGCGTTTTATTTAGTGTTTTATACCAGTAAATAAAATGTTAATGCACTAATAACATTTTGTAAAAATGGGGTGGAGCATTAGACAAGGGATTTTTTACTGAATCGTATCATGTTGTTTAGATATATGTATCAAATGTATGTCCCCTGTATCCAGAATAATTGCATGCGTATCGATATGCATCATCCATCCATCCATCCATCTATTTTCTTCCGCTTCATCTGTTGCCGGGTCGCAGAGATATGTATCTTATCGGCAAAATTGGAAAAATACCCAGGCCTACTCTGAATCATCAGAATCAGAATCCTTAATATGCCATGTGAGTAACAAGAAGTCACAAACTAGGAATTTGCTTTGGCTCTCATACAAAATCAATATTTATTAATGAATCCACCCATAGGTGCTTAGAAACAGGCTTTATTTAAATCTAACTTTACAACATGTTATGTAATGCATAAAATACTACATTTAAAATACTTTGCAAACATTTTGTAGAGACCTATTCCTTCAATAGTTTTAGACAGGGATAAAGCAGGACTAGCATTTGCAATTGGCTACATGTCAACTCACAGCGAGAACCCTGGCACCGCGTGGTTCGCTTGACTGATCCCGGACCTGATGGTATGTGCGTTACATAACAAAATGTTTCAGGAAGGAAGTATCAGGTGAAGCAGAGAGGACATAATCTGGTGTTCCCAGGTACATTCATCAAGTGGAAAAGCTCCTTCAGCTGTTTGCCTGGAGAGCTGCTTTGAGCACGGCACAATCACATGAGCATGAATATGTAAACAGAGAGAACAATCGCACCTCTCCCCTCCTGCCTCATTTCAAAATTTCTCAAAGGAGTCATTCATCATAAGTTGTGACCTAAAAAGGTGCTGCTACGGCATTTCTCACAAGGATTGGTTACTAAGTCCTTATTGCCTAATTTGGACGCTTTGCTCTCTATGTGATTTATACAATCTGTTCTATCATGGCCCCAATTTAACACCATTCTCTGCATTTTATTCATTTTTATTTATTTAAATCTACATCATGCAATATTCCTGCTTATGTTGCAAAGGGATTGTTTTGATTTTTTTAGCGCTAAACAGTGAGTTATGTTACAAAGCTCAGGGCGTTGGTATTCAAAACCTATTGTGTTGTCTTTGCTCAAATAGGGTGCACAAAATAATTGAGTTTGAATTGGTTCTGCCTGGGGCTAACTGCTAAAACAAATCTTTAAATGAAATTCATTACAAGCAGTGTTGCCATAGCCAGGTGTTATTGAATTCATTTCTTGTATTGCTCTGATTTCTGAGGATAACGGATAATAAGTGAGACAGCCACCAAAGATGACAATGACATTGCACATGATGGTTTCCCTTCAAACACATTAAAACCGAGTCACTCTCATCGGCTTAATTGATCTGTGCAGATGGTGGAGCTGCTCGTTTCCCTTCCATTGTGTTCATCAGGTGTGAGATATACAGCATTTTTAAACCCCAAATGAGTGACATTTCCAAAATAATAGGATTGATTGAACATTTAGCTCTCTTCATGTATTGACTGTTATCTTATTCCGTGATAATGGGTAAACAACAAAATCTTGCTGTGTTGGTGTTTTGCATTGACTTCTATATTGCTTAACAAATCATGACGCATAATTTCACTGTTTCCAATCACTGTAAAAAATACATCCACTGTACAAGGAAAATATGTACATACATATAATATTGATAATTACTTGCAATAGAAGTGACTTTATTTCTAATAACCAGATAATCTTTTGTTTGTCTCAAAGGTGTAAGGATGGCTTTCGAAGTGGTCATTGTTGCGTTAATGCAAGGTTGCCGCTCCCCCCTGCCTTATACCTTCATGTCAGCTGAATTAGGCAGGGGAAATGAACATAATGAGATAACAAGCCTAAGATGGAGAAACAGGCTGATGTGACCCATCCTCCTGGTTATTTGGCAATATCTGGAGACGTCAGCCACCTCAGACTCTCATTTTCTCCCTGTCATATCCAATCAGCCGGCCCGCTCCAAAATAACAGTGACTCCACCCGCCGCCACATGCTCTGTCTGCTCCACAACTTTGTACTCCAAAGTGCTGCCCTCTTTGCAAATATACGGGTCACAGCAGCCGACAATTTGGTGACACTAATATTAGGCTTGAAGTCTAATCACCACGCAGTAATTATGGCTAATTAATATCCTGTTTATTGAAGGACACTGTCCACTGCTTTGAGTGTAGTGTGTGTCAACTCCATCAGTTAAAGATAATTTTCTGCGGTAAATAATTTAGTGTAGTTATATGAGACAGTGACAATATAATAACAAAGTATTCATCCATGGTTATCTAAAATTTGAGAATAATAATAAAATATGGTAATGACTTGATAAAAAAAAAATTAAATATGTAATGTCTTTCATTTGGCTTATACTTGCATAAATGGATGATGGTAATTACTCAATTTTCATGATCAGATAATGAACAGAAAATGAGAATCATTGCGTTTTCATTAACTTAAAAGAAGCTTTTAATATATAATCAGTGGAGCTTCTTTAAGAAGGCCATATAAGAAGGCGTCCGAGAAAGAGGACCAAAAGTTCACATTAATAGAAACAAAATGTCATTCACAAAACCTTGTTGACAAATTAGGGCTGGGGAAATTATTGCCTTCATCTTTTGCATATTTTTTTTGCAAAACATAAAAAAAAGATAGGATTCAAATTAATTAAAGCATCGATTATGTGTCTGAGTTCTGCAGATCTGTTTTGCACAGACAATGCCATAACCTTTTTACAGTGACAGGGGAAGTACAGTTTTTTGCGTGAGGGGAAAAAAAATCCATGTGTATGCTTGTGCACGAGACGGCGTGCACAAGGATGCATCCGCGTGCACGAGCATCTGTGCACAAGGATGCGTGCACAAAGCTGCGTGCATGGGCCTGTGGCAGTGTGCATGCACAACAGGTCACACACGGACTAACACGTGCGTGTGTTCTGTTCCCATCACAAAGACAAGTTTCAGGCCAGCTCTGACACAGCCTCCAACAGCCTTTAACAGACACAGGCAGTGTTTACGCGCAGTTGGCATCAAACCACTGCCTGTTACATATGAACACAGACGTGCAGTGTGTGGAGCGGCAACATATTGTATAGAGTAGGATCTAGCAATGATTTCATATCAATTAATATATAGATAAAAAATATATTATAATAATAATAAAACAATATATATATATATATTTTTTTTCAATCATTCTATAGATTTAGTTTTTTCAGTCAATTCAATTATCATCTTTATGTGAGTAGCTGCATAAATGCATTCAATAAAAAGAAACTTAGAAACTTTGATATATAAATAAAGATTCTAAATGGAATGTTTTAACATTATTTACGTTGACGCTACAGTTACGGAGGTCTGCACCACACGCCACAGGATGTATGATGATTTCAGAAATGTATATGGACAATGCGCGCTACGGTCCATGTTTCGTTGCCGCATGGACGACACCTGCACGAGTTGCTTCAGATACAAACAGATACAGGACTTATTGCACATGCAGCAAAGTGAGCTATTCATTGACAACATAAGCGTTATGAGCACATCTCCATCTGTTGGGTGGCGGTATCATTACGTCCCCTTCCAGGTCCGAAACTGTTCCTCGATGATCTGTCCTTGGCGTGTCTTTTACACACGCAGCTGCGCTTCGTATAACGCATGGACAATCAAAAAGCATGTGTACCAGTTTGATCTGCATTACTATAAACTTATAAAAACTCTAAATACAACTCAACTCTAAAGACTCATCAATAGTGTACATGGAGCGCATCAATGTCATTTCATAATTGGTGTAATTGATTACTTTGTGGTGTTGTGTCGTTACAGCACTAATGTTGAAGCATGTATGTGTGTGCTGCTATCTTCGTCTGCACTTAGGTCATAGCCGCTGATAAGAAAGGGCCCTGTGGTTTATCATTTTGTGGGTTGCATTTTATTATATCTCAACACTAAACCTGATTCACATTACAGGTTTTATTAAGTGCTCACAGTAATTCAAATAACCCAAACCATGTCTGAGCTTTTCATTCAGATTAAAAGGAATAAATATCGCTGCAGTATAGATTACCCACCCGTTGAATGCACCCGATCCTGAATTGTGATTAGAATAATTCTCCAAACACTTCTCTGCAACTGTTTTCAGATAACACAGAATCTCCAGCAGCCTCCTATATCTGTCACTGCCAAGTCATTGCCCAAGGAAAACAGTTGTGAATAATAGTGTTTATAGCTGCTAATATGAATCACCAAGCTGTATCTTTTCTGTGCTTTGGCTTTAAATGTTGAATTCTTGTTTTTTAACTATAAGGCTTTAATTAACATCACCGTTCTTTTTCTTTTTCTCATTTCCAGATTGATCCTAAGGTTGCCTTCCCTCGCCGCGCCCAACCCAAGGTAAGAATAAAAATGTCACTCACTCTTGTCTGGCTACAGGAAATTGACATTACTCGTTACTATTTTGTGTGCTGCTAAAACACATTTATATTTGTTTTGTCACTAGATTAGAGATATTTATTGTTTTAATATAAGAAATGCACTGAAGTCAAAACTGGCCTTGATTATTGTACTGAAAAATAAGCTGGAATCTGAAAAAAGGTTGTCTTTGTGCTTATAGGTTTGTTTTTGTGAGTTGTATAACTTTAAATGAATAGACGTATTTTGATGTTGATATTGTCTATGGATTACATTTTCTCCCGTTGGTATAAATAACATAACATGGCCTTGATAGTGGTTAGACATCCTGCTTTGTTTTTTTTTTTTATTGTGGATTTGATAGTGTTCCCATTATCTCCTACTTATTTAACAGCATTAAATGGTATACATGTACTGTAAATTGACGGGCAGAAAATAAATTAATTCAAATTGCAGCAGAATTATTGTAATAACACTACTGCCACATAGCATGACCTCATAGAAGGTTATTCCCTATATCAACTTTGTCGCAATCATGAGTCACATTGTTGTTAGCTAAAACGCGCATCATTAGCCTGCCATAGACTTGATTGCTGCCCGACTCAAATCCACTGACTCTATTGAGCTGTTTGCTTTTGTTGGGGGGGGCCTGCGTGATGTGCAGTGAATCATTTTGAACATCTTTAATTGTACTGCATGTAAAAAAAATAAAGACAGAAAGAAACAACCACAATCAGTGTTAAAAAAAATAGCTAATTATAACAAAGGAAAATCAAATCATGTGGCTCTGTACCTCTTATCTTCCCCTTGCATTCTCTCAGCCTTGATTACCAGGCTTTGGCCCATCTATTGACAAGTAAATATTCGGAGTGCGCACATATCGGGCTGCTGTAGTCAAGGGCTTTGTTGACATGCCCTCTCCCACCATCCCCCAGCATTTAATGTGTAGAATAGAGCACGGCTACAGTGGAGCGCTATTCAGGCCCGCTATCAGAGCTTTTTCCACCTTTAAACCAGGTGGAAATCGATAATAGATTTTCTCCTTCCCACTGGATCAGGAGCCAATGGCATTGTTAAAGAGTTGTTCGAGTTTCAAATGAGGAATTGGCAGTGCAGAGCCTCAAAGCCAGGGCACACGGCGACTTAAGGATATCGGCGCAAAGCTGGGAAAAAGTAGCTGTTTTTCCCCCTACATTTCCTTCCGCTGCAAAAACGGCAGCTCACCACGAGCTTGTTCCCCGCCAAGGTGAAATAAAACATGAAATGATGTTGCCGATTTTTCACAAGAACAGAAAGCCTCCTTAGCGGTGCCATTCCTTATGCTGCCTGAACAGGTGTTGTACTGTGAGCTACCTGAAAGGAAACACAATATTTTGAACCGCTCCTGTACTGTTTGACATCCTACCTTGCCTATGATTTATTATTCTATGTTATAATGACACCACAGTCGAATCTGTAGCACGGCAGTAGTCTTCCAGTGATTTATAAAATGGCTATAGGGAAAGCTTGTTAGAGGAGAATAAATAGCAGCATTGAATCTGGATTATAAAGGAATTTAAAGTGATGGGATTAAGCCAGTTAGATTAACATTGCTTGGGTTTGTACTTTATGTGCAATTGATTTAAGACCTTTAGAAGAATTCCCATTTTGAGTTTCCCATTTAGAAAGTCCCCTCTGTTTTGCATTCTTTTGTTCGCCCACTGTCTGCTGCCTGCCCGCTCCTGCAGCTGTTGAATAGGCTCCATTCTTGTTAGAAGCGGCGCGTCTTGGCAGGTGCGCTGAGGACCGAGCTTTGCGAAAGCACAGTGACATGGCCAATTTAAAAAAAACAAACAAAAAATTCACACGACTTTCTGTAATCTCTGAAGTGACCCGGCCGTGCTTGGCGGACTACAGTATATTGTATGGCGGAATATTTGCACTTATCTTTACTATGTCTTTTGACAACATAGTCAAATACCAAACCAAAGACACATTTTCCTAGACATGTTTTTGATTTGTTGTTTTTCATGATCAATACCATTAGCGTTTTGTTTATTTCTATGTAATGGATATGATGTTTACTTGTAGCACATCTATATCGCTCAGCCCTTGTATAGAGTATGTGTAGCACGTAGAGCAGCGCTTGAAACAGACAGGAAGTGAAGGTGAACATAGAGGACATTTGACTGTAAACAAGTGAAGGTGCAGTGACAGGATCATAGCAAAAACAACTTGTATCAGGCGCCATAACTGACACTGCCCCCTACCACACAGCACTGTACAGAGACAAGCGCTTGGCAACATAAATTCATTAGCTACCACTGGAGCAGATAACCTTGTGGATGCTACCCTTAAATGTGACTATTAGACAGTTGTTAAGGGGATTTGCATATTGTAGGTATTTAAAACCAGGGCAGGCTTAGCTCCTCTGCCCTGAAACCCTAAATTAAAATGCGCAGGAGAGTCAAAGAGAACATTGATGTATAGGGGTAAACAACAGAAGCCTGTTTTAGTTTGGAGTTGCACTTCAGTGCATTTATCACTTACTTTTTTTGTGTGTGTTAAATAATGCTCCAATTTGTTGAAAACTTCAAGTGGACAGGTCAGAGGTTGTTTGGTAAAGACTATTACACATACACTAGATAGTGCGAATATGTCTGTACTAGGACTGGACAATCATGGACAAAAATAATTACAAGTGCATAATATTTAAGGCAATCACAGTGAAAGACGAGGGCGCATAAGTGAGTCAAGGTAAAAGCACATGCTGTCTGCCTGCTGACTCAGATCTTTTCTCAGTGGGTGCAACTCTCCTTCTGCCCCGTACACTGTTACTGCCATATTATTGGTGTCTGGCGATTTTAATACATTGATAATTGCGATCTACAAAAATTGAAATTGCAATCTTTTCATTTTCTGATTTTGTACCCATCTTCTCCTTCACATCTTTGGGTTGTATGAAAATGTTAAGGCTGCAAATAGAGCTATGAACTATTATTTTGATAATTAACTAGTTGGCCGATTATTATTTTTGATTAGTTGATTAGATCCCAAATGCTCAGTGAATATTGGATTTTTAATAAATTTGATCAAAACAAAGATCAAGTGATGTCCATGGAGAATATCTTCACAGAAATTACCAGTTACACATTGGGTTGCTGGATTAAAAATCTTTAATAAACACATTTTCATTTCATTCTGAGGCCATTATACATAATCTCAGTCATAAAACCTCTTATCAGCATCTTCAAGTCAAGAAAGGTTCAAAAAAAGATTAAGAGTTTCAATTTCAAAAATGTATTGGTTGCTATTTATCAGTTCACTTGTTTCTGCACTGGCTACAAGTATATAATATTTTACTGCACATTAGTATTGCACATTAATAAATGTTTGTCTGCTTTTGCATTTCCATCCTGACATTCTGATGTAAATCAAATATGTATTTCTAGTTCACAAAGTCCATGATGCTAAAATAAAGCCTAAACATCAAAGATTGAACATTGGGGTAGGGAACAGTTAAGCATCTTGTATAAACGATTACCATGTGCCGCTCGCGTTGGCTTTGGTGTCGTCTTTAGAGGTGCGTGCGCCTGTTTGATTTGACTAATCTACTTTTTTGTGACCATCTGCACCAGAATAATGGCAAAGGGCACAGAGGGGAGATAACCAGACGTGTCGACGATCAAAGGAAACACACGAAGGAAATGCGCCTCGGCACACACATTACAAAGAGTAATGGCACCCACCTCCAGGCTCACCTTAAAAGAGCATTTAGCATTGGGAACGCAGCTGTGGCTTTGGACCCATCAAGACATGTGTAAAAACATATAGAGGCATCAGGATGCACATTTATACGTCTGTCACATTGAGACTTGAGGTGACATCATTCCTGCATCCTGTTTTTAATCTTTGTATATATTGACTAAACATCTTTCATGTTCTGAGAGCTAAAACTAAAATGCACATAACACAAATATAGTTAGGAATATAAAGTTGACAGTTTGTCCCTTTTGTAACTGCTGGGATCATGATGTAAAATTGATTTCAGCCTTTCTAGGTTACAGAAAGTAAACAGGGAACATAGTCAGGACCATTATGTTTGGCTTTTTGTCTTCATATATATTCACTTTGCTTTAGTAAAGGAATACCCCTTTCACATGTTGGTAAAAGTAGTTTTGAAGTTTGCGGGCAAAACTGTTGTCTCTTGGCGGTCCTTGTTTGATATATTCCACCACGGCTCTGGGTGAGCAGTGTAAATGGGGCCTGCTCGCTTGTTTTGTGAAAAAATATCAAAGCTCCTGTTTCCTTCAACATTGCCTGATTTACCACTCGACTGTCGGCGTCATTACAGCTGCTGCTTTTGTTCCCTACAGTGGTGTTGCACATAGGCATGGCATGCCCCAGCATGATTTTAATTGCCAGTGGGACTTTGGCCACTTCACTGGGAGATGAGTTCTGATGGCTTGTTATGGAAATAAAAAAGAAGGGGCATATACCACTCAAAGAGCAGCCGGTGTTACCCCTTCCATGCACGTCATAAAGGGTCTGCAGATGCCACCCAAAGCAGTAGTGAGTCTCACTCCGGATGCTCGCAGAAATAGATGCTTCTACTGTTTGTTTGCTTTGCTGATGACAGTTCCCTTTCCTGAAACAGTTGTCTAAAAGCGCATAGATTAGTGTCAGTTGCAGGAGGAATGAAAACCTAAGTGTGCCACTACTACCTCTGTTAAGGTAATTCTGGACCATCAGTCAGAAATACCATCAAAGCACTGTCCCAAATTTGACTTGTGCATGTGACAGCGGAGTGCAGCTCCCCTGCCCGTGGCCTACTCTTTGCGCTGGTCTATCTGTGGCAGCTGTGCCCGCCTCCAGCTCTCACTTTCACTTTGCTCTTCGCGTTGTCTCATTTTCTCTTTTGTATGTCACTCTGTTTGTCGGCTGCGGTTTCCCCCTGTCACACTTTTTACACCAATGGGAGATTAACCTGTTTCCTCACACAT